TGGAAGGACAAAATGTGATATAGTCACATATACTATAATAAATTCTACTATAAAAACAATGGAATATAGATGCATGGTATAAAATGGATGTTATCTAATATACTAAATAGAAGAGAGCTAGTTACAAATCATTTTAAAGCGAAAATAAAGTACAATGTGACCAAAAAATAAAATACAAGAATAAAGAAGCATAATACTTAGTAGTAGGAATAAAAGAAAATCCAACTCAATAAAATAGAAGCTTTATTTTACAGACAATGGTCGGCTGTATAATACTGTCAGCCATAGACCATAACAAACCCACACACTGACTTCTTAAACACTGGGTTCTTTTCCAAGAACTCCTTCAGTTTCTTGGGCAATAGAGCTGACAGGAGCCTAAGCTGTGATCTATACGTCTCTGAGGTCTGATGGGGTTTCCTACTAGCAGTGGGTGGGAAATGCTGTGACACAGTAGGTTATGTTACAGGACCAAGATGGGTTCAGGCTTTGAAAATGACCCTACAACTCTTCCAACATCAAAGAAATGATTCATTTGCTATGGGTTCTTCAGGCTTAATAGAAATAAAAGTCTTAACAGAATCCTATTGGTGGCCTCTTATAACAGGTACTCCCTGAGGTACCTGCTTTATGCAAGGTCTGGTAAAGGACCTATTCTATTTTTTAATAGAAAATCCAAATAAAGCAACAAAAGTAAACAGAACCACTTTCTAGTCCCTTCTTCCCAAATTGCTGGAACCGGCACCATTTCTACTGACATCCACTTAAAAGACTGCATTGGAAGATGTATTAAAAACACTTCTTGTTAGGCTAGTAAAAAAAAACCTCAGTAGCAGAGTTCAATTCGTAGCACCATAAACCAAACCAAACCAGCTTTCTGCTTTCATCGACGACTGGAATGCTTGTGAAAATGACAACAGCAAGAGGCATAATATCACTGGTATAATCAGACTTGGAAGTCATAAAACAGGTCTCTCCACTTTACAATTACATTCATTTATGGAAAAAAAAATATCCCACCAAACCAAGTAACTACATCTCATGGGATATTTCAAAAGCAAAGTTTACCTGCAATTGACTGTGATAAACTGTAGAGTTCTTTCATTTGTAAAGGCTTTACTTATTTTTATTTTCTGAGTATGTCTGAGTACCTGAAGGTTCATATATGCACACCAAGTCTCTGCCTCGTTCTTGTGGAAAACAGAAGATGGTACTTGGTCACTAGAATGAAAGCTCCGGGTGGTTGTGAGCCACCATGTGGTGCTGAGAATAGAATACAAATTCTCACAAGAGTGGTCAGTGTTCTTAACCACTGAGCATCATACCAAAACCCATTTTATAATGTTTAATCTGAACATATAGACCATGCATTAAGTTTTAAAGGAAAGTAGCAAATATACCATATTTGTACTAATAAAGAACAAACAAATAAGTTGAATCACTTCATTAACCACTTACATGGCAGTAATTTCTATGGAGTATATCTTTATCAAGTTATATTTTTATATAAATGCATGTTTATACTGAAAACATACAAAGAAAGGAAGAGAACTGCTTTTAAAAAACAACCTCCAACCCTAACACACAAGCAGAGCCACTGTCCACAGAGGACAACAGGAAGAATGTTTGCAGAAGCAGTCATTCAGGGTACAGATGAGCACGATCCCATGTCAATCAACAATCTTCAGGGCATCTTGGTGGTGGTGCTGGGGTTGAAGTCAGTGCTCTGGGTAGCTGAGTACAGACTCTACTACAGAGCTACACAGCCTTACACATTTGATGACTAACTATATCAGGAAACTGAAGCTAGTTTCTACTGTTTCTTATCAAAATATGAAAGAACCTTGAGCACATAATTTAGCTACTGTTTCTTTAAGGTAGAGTTAAAGGTTAAAAAATAAATAAATTGATGGGGCATCATATATTGTTATCTCTTGAGAAATGAGTTTCTACATTTCTCTCCAGAAAAATCACAGTAATGCTCCCATCTGCTCTGCAAGAGATCAGCCCACCCCTCTCCCCAGAGTCCCAAACACTGGCTATAAACATTTCTTTACATTTTCCACCTGATTACAGTTTCTAAAAATCTCACTATAATCCCTCATTTCTTCAGTAGTCAGGAGGCTGAGTATTTTCCCATGGTTACTAGCTACATTTCCTTATATGAACTAGTTATTCCTTTTGGAGCCTTAATTTATGTTCGCAGCACTGAGATTAAACCCAAGACCTCACAATGCTAGGCAAGTGCCCTACCATTCACTGTGCTATAGCCTCAGCTCCCTTGTATTTACTTCACAAATAAGGCCTCACTAAGTTGCCAAGGCTGGTTTTGAACCTGCCTCAGTACAGAGTCCATGCAGAACTTAAATCCATAAGAACCCTGCCTCAGCTTCCTGAGCAGCTAGAATCAGATATCCCTGGTATAGATTTGGCTGAGTCATATTCTAAAAGTGTGGACAATTATAGACCTACCAAAATGGTAGATCACATTTGAAAAAGTTTGGAAAACTTTCCTATGTTTAAGTTCATCTGCTATAAGCCATCCTAGCAACTGAGCAAAGTCAGGTAGGTATAAGACTCCTAAACATACAAGATGAAACATCCAAATATGTTTGTTGGTTTAGACGGTTACTCCAGAAATGATGGAGACCATCAGCAATCTATTTTGAAAACAATCTATTTGTTGTTTGATCTGCTTTTCTGTAATTATTTTCTACAAAGGGAAACAGAAATCTGCAGTAGACAAGCAGAAGGAAGTTGTCACCTGCCTCCTGTCTCCTTCCCATCCCTATAGAAGTGCCTATAAAAGATAATGCAGAGGAAACTGCAGATCTGAGTAGCAACAGCAGCCAGCAGTGAGGAGATAACTACCAGGTTCTGCAGCATTAAAGACTAGCCTGTGCTTGAAGACGCAAGAGCTGAGCATACTGGGTAAGTAAATATTCTAGTCCTAGTGGTACAAATGGCTTGCTGAGGTAAACAGCCAAGACTGAAACATGGATGAGACCCTTATAGGGTTGCTGGGAAAATGAGAAGACAATTTTCAGTTCAGACCACCACTGAGAGAAAAACAGAAAAGACAAAGTTTTGAGAATTCACTCAATAGGAAAAGGAAAGCCATCAGCACAGCGCTGCCTCAGGTAATGCTTGGTAGGCCTGACTGCCATATTATAAAGATTTCTTCCCTAAGGACTGAACAAAGGCTAAGAAGTGGAAATAACAAAATCCTGGGCAAAAGGTCTGATTTCTCGACCTCATAAAAAATGCGTAATCTTATTTTTTTTCCATGCTTAGGATCAAAATCAGAAGCTTGTGCACCTAGACAAGCAAGCACTCTACCATTGAGACCCACTCTCTACTTTAAGACCGCTGAGAAGTCCCAGAACAGTCTGAAACCTAAGAGCTGCTGCACTGGCAGAAACAGCTAGACAGTCAAGATACTCTTTTGATTGATTGATAGATTGATTCATTCATTCATTTAATTTTATTTGGGTTTTTCGAGACAGGGTTTCTCTGTGTAGCCCTGGCTATCCTGGAATTCACTCTGTAGACCAGGCTGGCCTCGAACTCAGAAATCCACCTGCCTCTGCCTCCCAAGTGCTGGGATTAAAGGCGTGCGCCATCACTGCCTGGCAATTCCTTTATTTTAATTACCTCTTGTACATGTAATATTAAGTAGAAAATGAAATGCTGCTGAGTTTCATGAAGAAAGGCCCAATTCGTGAGAGGAATCTTTCTCTTTTAGGCTGGCCTTGACCTTGCTATGCTGAGGATGTCCTTGAACTCCTGATCACCCTGACTCTACCTCTACATCTTCCCTGCTGTGATGAACTGTGCCTGTGAACTATAAACACATATAAACCCTTATTTCCTTAAGCTGTTTTGTCAGAACAAACAGAAAAGTTAACTACTCTCTCTTAGAACTGTGTAATGCAAATAGGACCATAATACTCAAGCTTTTGTTTCTAGGTGTGTCCTTCAGAACTGGTAAGCAGTTTTTGCCTGGTAAAGAATAGATAGAAAGTATTTTAGGACTTTGTGGACCAGACTGTTTGTGATACAACTATCCTATTCTCTTGTAACAAGAAGGCAGCCACAATGAGCATTTAAACCCACTTAGGACAATACTCCCACAGAACTTTCTACAATATATTTTATTATTTAGCCACTGAGCACTTAGAAATATGGGTATTACTGCTAAGGACCTGAATTTTATATAGTTACTTTTTGGTATTTACAGGTGTGGTGATTTGAATGAGACTGGATACCATAGGCTCATATTTGTTCCACAGTTGAGAGAACTGTTTCCAATTAGAAGGTGTGGCCTAGGTAGAGATGAGTCACTGGGAATAATGGGCTCTGAGGTTTCAAAAGCTCATACAATGTTCTCCCCATTAACCCCCATGCCTCCAATTTGTGGATAAGATGTGAGTTTCTCAGTTGCTATTCTGGCACCATACCTGCCTGCCTGTTGGACGCACCCTCTGAAACTCTAAGAAAGCTCCCAATTAAATGTCTTCTTTTCTGAGTTGCCTTGGTCATGGTGTCTTATTGTGGCAATAGAACAGTGAATAGTAGCTAAACAATGGGGTACTCATTACAGGACCTACCAAGGAAAATCTAAATTACTACATGATAAAATACGACAATGGATTTGCATATAATTTACCGACATCTTCAAACCATCTCTGGATTACTTAAAATGCCTAATACAATGCAAATGCTACACAATAGCTGTCACAAACTCAGAGAATAATGACAAAAAAAGGTCTACATGTTTAATAGAGATTTTTGTTCAAATATTTTCAATCTATAGTTGGCTGAATTTACATACATAGAACCTACTGATATGGGGTGTGTGTGTGTGAGAGTCACAAAGTTAGCAAGAGCCTCAGTAGGTAGAAGTGCTTGTTGACAAGCCTAAAGATCTACATTCAACCCTGAGACCCACACTGTGATAGCAGGAGAGAAGTGACTCTTTCAAATTGTCCTCCATGAGTGCTCTACACACACACACACACACACACACACACACACACACACACACACACACTCTCTCTCTCCTAGGGTTACTAGCCAGCACCACCTTAAATATCTATCTAGCCGAAATACCTCTGCTGAAAAAGAGATCTAAAAATAAACTTATAATTTTATTACAGGCAAACAAAGAAGGAAATATGACATAACATTCCTAATAATTCAAAGACCATAACACTAAATAATCCAACTCTAGACACACCAACTATAGCTCAAGCAAGAGGATACGTGTAGAGCTCCATGTACCTGGACTTTGCCATGCTTTGTCTGGTGTACACTTGCTGAATTCCAGCTCTGAGGTCATCCCAGATCTGGTCAAGACCAATCTGCTTCAGTCCATGAGGATTCTGACTCCTGTTTGATGACATTGTGAGCAATGTTCTGAAGTTGTCCAGTACAGCAATCCTTGTTCAAGATACAGCTAGTCCTCCATTAGTTGAAAATAGACAATATCATTCCAAATTTATTCACAGCAGCTCAGAAAGAACGTTCTTTAAGTGTAAAGAGTAAAGTCTCATTGCAGGCAAACCTGAAGAGAAAATAAAAGAGAACTGATCAATTCTACTTTCTGGGGTCAGTAACAGGACAACACACTCTGACAGAACAATCTGTGGGTGTCTATAGGTATTTCAGACATTCTCACTATCTACATGGAAATTAAACTCACTATATGGTATGTATGTAAAATATGTTTAGACGTCTCATCCAAAATCATTCAACTATTACTGCTCTTAAAAAACGTTGAGAAAAACAAGTATTAAGAGACCATTGTCATTCTTTACCTTCTAAAGTTATCAAAGGTTGAAACATAGCACTGGACCTACATAATAGTGAGACAAACTTGAAACAGCAGAGAACATGCTTAGGAAATTCCCATTAAAATGAGAAGAGTTTAGCTAAAAAGTAGGAAAAGCAATGCAATCTCACTAGTTGCCTGTAAGTTTTAGGAATTCTTTGTTTAGCACCTGGAAGAAAAGCTAACATTGGTAAGTGTGAAGATAAAAGGACACAGAGCTTTCTTTTTGCAAGGGAATTTAGGAAGAATGATCTAAATTTACAAAGTACCCTGGATTTCAAGCTTTGACGCTCAGCTCACACCTTACTAAGCTTGAACTTCCTAGCCTGCAAAATGGGGGCAAATTACTTTCCTGACATGGTTGCTGTAAAATTTAAAGATAATAAAATATATAAAACATAGATAGACTATTTGACAGTAAATGCTTACCAAGTTGTTATGGTATTGTTAATATGAAAATAATGTGATAATATGGTTATTATTTCTAAGTGTATGGTGCTACTTCAAAACACAATCTATAATGCCTCTGATGTTGGAGTCACTGGTCAAGGACCCTATGGAATACCATTCTTATTTAGTTGGTACTTCACAAAGTAGACATTCTATATAATTGTTTATACACATCACATTAAAATGTAGAGGTTTTACATAAGTGTTTCTAAGTGCATATCAAAAATACTGAATTTTTTAATGACTTTAACTAAATAAATGTCAATGAAGACAATGGGATAACAGATGTCAGCACAGGTGGCTAGTCCACAAATCGAAGCCTGAGATACCTCAAGTCATTCAGCACACCGGATCTTTTCATCAACATTACAAAACTCCACACAACACAAGGCCCATTTAAGGCCCTTGTAGGTCATGAGTATAATTTAACTTCTGTCTACAGAAAGTTCAATCATCTCTAACATTTATGATGTGAGTCATAGGACTAAATATTTTATGAAACTACACCATCATTCCGATCCTAAATGTATTTCATTTCATATATTCAAATGTGAAACATAAGCAATACAATGCCAAGATTCCTTCAAATATAAAGAGACTAACAATTCAGCAAATGTTTCCTACACAGTTTCAATCTTTTTTTTACTCACCTTGGGGGAAACATAATACTACCCCACTCGATAATAATCAGCCTTAGACTGACGCTACCATCTAATAGCATCAACTTCTACACCTAAACTCCCTATCAATTCTTTACCATTTCCCCATGGAGAACCTCAATGTGTCCAAACTAGAATCAGCTGTGCAGTAACTTCTAATTCCTACCATCGATGGAGGAAATATTCTCCAGCACTAGAGTCTATTCCATGAGTAGCTCAACCAGAATTGGGAACATCACTGTACCCAACTCTTAGGACTCTTGGAGGGATTCTGATAAGAGTGCTATTGATACTGCCAAGGACACTTCACATTGAATTGAATCTCTATTGGTTCCTCTTCCAGTGGTCATCATCATTTTTATAAACTGGATTCTCATACATCTATCCATCTGTACCCAACCCTTGTCCCTTCTTAAAACAGCACACCTGAAACTGTCAGCCTGATTCCAAATTGATGGTCAATCCCCAGGACCATACTATCCTGCAAGCTGTCCTCTTAACATCTACCCACTTGCCTGGCACATGCATACACAAAATATTTTCCTTTCCAGCACAAACAATATGCCTGATACATACTCTATGCAGTGTTTTGTACTGCCCTCCCCTGCTTTTGCATTCTGTGCCTTAATTTCTAACTGCCTGATCCCTTCTCTCTAGTTATCCATACTAAGTATCTAAATTCACAATCAACCAATCTGAGGTCCTCAAAGATTTCCAAGTCAGTATCTAGATAAGAGGGTAAGTGTAAAGAACCTTACCTTACATTTGTAATATCTCCCAGAGAGCCTAACCCTAGTATGTTGTAATTGATACAGCAGAGGAACCCAAATCTAAGACTGAAAGAACTGTTAAACATAAGCACACTGCAGAAACATCTCAAGGGCAGATCACAAGCTGGTACAGCCCCCAGTGTAGGCAAATAATCTTAACTTATGTGCATTTGTGAAATAAAGAGCAGAAAGCCAATTGAGCTGAGAAGGTGATTTATAATTCAGGTCATAAAACCCAGGGCAAACCCCGCAGTTACTTCTGTCCTTGCTTCATAGGGCCTTATAACTTGCAGGGACCAGGAGAGCAGAGCAGCCTGTAGCTAAAGCTACCCTGTGTTGATTTATACCTCTGAGCAGTCTCTCCACACAGGACACCTCAGCAAGTTAGGATTGTCCATTAGACCACTCCAACAGCCATGTAGGCTGTGGCTTTACAGTCTGCCAACCTAGATTATGTGTGCAAAAATACAAGCATGTATGCTTAATCTGCCTTTATACCACCCAATGCTGGCGAGATGAACTGACTGCAAAACTAGAGCAGTAAAGCAGAATATTGGTACCCACAAATGACTAGCTTATTATCACTGTTGATTTTAACACTATACATCCTCTATATTCTAACATCTAAGTCATTAAAAACCTGAAAATTCCAGCAGATTTCCTAAGTCAGAGTTCAGATAGTTTAAGAAGTAAAAGTTTCTACTTTTCTGATTACACATCCAGAAAGTTTAAGCGCTCTCCAAAACTTACAGTGAATTCAACAAAATCTTAAGACACACTTAGAAAATTGGGCTGTTTTCAAGTGCTGTTGGCATTACAGGATTACCAAGCTGAGTGACAAAGCTCCACAAGCTTTTGAGAACACATCATCTGCAGATCTGCTACAAAATTTGGGAGTGTGGTCCCAACAGCCTGTAGATTAGGTTGCCAGCAGGGGAAGTAATGACAGCTAAGGCAGCAACCTAGGTCCCCCTACCAAGTCAGTGTTCTTCAGGAACCCCAGCCATGCAGGCTCCTTCCAATTCCAATGGAAGATGCACAGCTCACATATTTCTGATAGGCAACTAAGGCAGAAAACATCACCAACCAATAACAGACACAGATGGCAGAACCAGTTGTTGCTTCATACATTGGCTCATGAAGCCTAGGTGAATTACAATAGCTTCCAGTCTTCACTTCTGTCTTAAGAACAATAGAATGGAACACAGAGGTCAAAATAAACAGGCCTAAAGCTGTATGTATACTCAAGAAGGACAGCCTCCACTCTGTAAGACCTAGCTATCTCAGAGCCACCAACTGCATTAACTTAAAGGTCAGAAACCTGAATGTGTTTCTTCAGGCATCATTCCTCTGAAAGACGAGCACCAAAGAATATAAATTCGTAAGACTTTTAAGTACATCTCTACTTAAAGGCCGAATACATAACCTTATGGGTAAACAACTGTGTACTCATCTCAATTCTTCCTCAAGCCCTCCAGAATGTGTCATACCTGATTTCATTTCTATAAACTAAGACTAAAAACATTTAGCAGATGCTGTGCTGGAGCCAAAGCTGAGAAGTGTTAAAATGAGATGATTCAAATCAGAGATGTAACAGGAACACAAGAATTAGGGGTTTTCAAGAAAAAGACTGTAACTGCTTTGGTTAGATTGATTGCTGCTGAAAAACAAAAAGACTAAAATAAAATAAAGTAAAAAAATTAAAAAAAAACTCTAGGAAGACAAAATGTTACAATGCTTTCTGAAAATAAAGCTGAGTGGTAATGAAAAAATACATCTAAAATTTGCTTTTAAATAAGATAAAATTTAGTGTTTCTAGTTTGGTGTCTTATTCATTTGTGGGTACAGTGTGCACACATAGGTGGATGAAGGCCAGGCTGATGTGGGATGTCTTTCTTAACTGCTCTCTTCCATACACATCCAGACAGGCAGGGTCTCTCACTTAAACCCAAAGTTTGCCAATTCTGCTAGTCTAGCCAGATAGCTCGTTCTTAGAATCATGTCTGTCTTCTGAATGCTAGAATTACAGGAGGCCCACCATGCCCACCAGCATTTACCTGGGAGTAAAAATATAAATTCTGGTCCTTACAACTGTGTGCCAAGTGATTTACCCAATGAGCCATCTCTGCAGCCTTAGTACAGTAACATTTTACTATGATAAAAATTTAAATGATTCTGGGCATTACTCCATAAATTATTCATTTTCTACCTCTTGGTCAAAAGTATACACAACACCCTGGCTTTTACTTGCAATCTGGCACATACTTAAGAAATGTACTGTAGGGCTAGAGAGATGGCTCAGTGATTAAGAACACTGCCTGTTCTTCTAGAGTTCAAATCCCAGCAACAACATGGTGATTCACAACCATCTGTAATGGGATCTGATGCCCTCTTCTGGCATGTCTGATACAGTGTACTCATATATAAATAAAATGAAAATAAATAGACTTTAGAAAAAGAAGAAATGTACTGTAAAGTTATTCAGACCCACAGGAACTCCTGAATGTGTACACCAGACTTTGGCTATTTATAAGAATATTTATAAGAATAGGGAGGACAGCCCACATATTTACTAGCAGAATTCACAAATAAATTAGTTACCTATTTCACTGCTATGACAAAATACCTGACATAATTTATAAGAACAGGAATGTTAGTCACAGCTTCAGAGGTCTATTGGGTACCCTGGCAGGTAGATGAGGCTGAGTGCCAATCACCTTCAGGAACAGTTTTCTCTCCTTGGTTAATCTTCCTAGAAAGGCTCTCACAAATACACTCAAAGGTGTGTTTTACTAATGTCTCAGGTTCTTCTCAATCTGACTAAGCTGATAATCAAGACTAACCATCACAAGTCTACTTCTTATCAACCTGGCACTCAAAATGCTTGTACCCATCTCATAATGCAAAATGCATTCAGTCCACCAAGATTTTCCAGAGTCTTCACATCCTACACTGTTCAAAGTCCAAGCTCAAAGTTTCCTTTGACCCTCAAGACAAACTCAACTGTGAGGCCCTGTAAAACCAAAACCAAATTATACAATTCTAGGATACAATGGCACAGGATACAATGGCACAGAACGAACACTCCTATTCTAAAAGCTAGAAAATGGAGACAAAAAAGGGGGTGGGGAGAGTGGGATCACAAGAAGACTGTTATCTAGAAGGGAAAGCAATTCTCAGAGAGATGCACAGTATCTAGAGCTGTGACAAAGGGCTTCGGCACCCGTATCTGGATGATCTTCCTGCTGCAGTCTACCCGGCCTCTGTGTTAGTCTGGTTTTATCTGACTGTGGCGTCAGCTTTCCTTGGCAACATGCCAAGTTCCTGGCATCTCCAACAGGTTTACACTTGACCTTCGACTTTTATGCACTACAGGCGCTAACTGAAGGTCTTCTCATTCTGTCACTGGTCACCTGGCCTTCCAAGACTTCCTCTGAAGTCTGGGTGTATTCTCAGAGATCTCATACTCTGGCATTTTTGTACACAAGAAAAGTCTGCACCATGCAGTCAAAGTTTGTCAGAATGGGGCCTTTAGGATAAAAACCACACTGGCCTTTGCATATTAGATAGTGAAGCATGGTGAGATAAACCCCGAGGAAATTCTAAGGTGTCCCTATGGAACAGGGTACCCCTAAAAGTATTCCTCTCAAGGGAAAGTTAATTGAATTCACTCTTGCAAATGAAGGGAAGTTCACATACCCTTGAGCCCATGACGGGTATTGTCTGACTAATTCTTAGGCCTTCAAACCTTTTTTTCTATTGTACTGTGTTAAGTATGTTCGCTTATGTTTAATACTCT